ATATATATATATATATAAATAAAATTGATTTACTTTTTTTTATTTACTTCATACTCCTCACAGGACTGTGTTGAAATACTTCAGTTTATGAACACTAGAATTTCTAATCAGAAATAAAAGACAAGAGGCTGAACTGGTTGTCCAAACTAAATATAAAGTATCATAAATCCGTGTTCGCCACTGTAAAGATCTAAAGATGCAGCAAAAATGTTCTGAATAGGCAAACACTTCCATTTTTTGTTCCCATGAATCTCACTCATGTAAATCACCGTCTTGCTCATTTCAGTTTCACTTTTAGTCAGATTACAGGCTCACAGATTTTACCGTTTAGAATTTCCCTCAAGTTTGTGAAATGTTGCCACAGCATTGTAGGCAAAAGCCATTTTGAGAAGATATGCTTATTTTCTTAGAACCTCTCAACAGTTTTTATTGAGAACAAAAAGCAATAAAAAATTTTAAGAGTGTTAGTAAAAAATACTCAGCCAATCTCTGTCTTTGCTAGGGATAATCTAGATTAATCCAGACTAATAAAACATGACTCTTGTATAAACAGTAAAAAAAACACACAAAGCTTTAGTATACAGATTAGCATATGTTGGATCTATCTATCTAACCTTAATCCTTGGATTTTCTTGGACATTTCATATCAAATCTAGAAAAGCACATTTCTTGACCCAAGGCAGATACTTACATTAGTGATAAGGGGGCTAGTAATCATGGTGCCATTATTACTGTCTACTAAATGATGACCAACAGGGGGGTAAACAGTAACAACCGGCTTGTCCTGAGGGAACTGAAGAGGCAGCAATCTAGAAAATAAGACAAGACAAACTTGTGTTACAAGTATCCTGACGCATGCTCAATAATCCAGGTAGAAAATCTGAAAAAGTTCAATCTGGTCCTGTGGACGTTCAAAAAACAAAACAAAGCAAAACAACAACAAAAACGAAAAGTAGAAACGTTTCGTCTTTCATCCGAAAGACTTCCTCAGTCTGAGGTGCTGTAATAATTGTGTTACAAGCTGTGTTGATTTGCACAGATGGATGGATGGACTTAAAATATTCAAAACAAGCAAATCATCTGGTCCAAGAACCTGTAAAAAGATGTATGAAATATATGCTATGTTTCTGAAAAGTCAGTCATTGAATATTATTTGGGGCAAAAAAAAGGACCCTTGCAGCTAGTCGTGTACAACTTGTTGACATTTGCATTTTAGCTGGTTATTCTTTTTTGTTTCATTTTGAAATCTTGTCATTTTGGACAGAAGTATTATCGTTTTCTTTGGATTATTAGCTAAATTATAATAACCACGAGTAGCAAGAAGATACCGTGAGAAAATATAAGCAACTTAAAAAAGAGAAAAAATGACATAAAATCATATGTTTTTATTATAGTGTTTTCTAATCTGATCACAGGACTAAGAAGTCACATTTACATACAACACACACACACACAAATATATATATATATAAAACATTTCAGTTCAATTCAGTTTATTTCTAAAGCGCCGTCACAACAGAAGTCGTCTCAGGGCACTGAACAGAAACATTTGTGTACATTAAAAAAGTCAATTAGTAAAAATGATCTATCTAAGGAAGCCAGCAGATTACGCTGAATTTTCACTCTTCCATCCTCAGCAAACACAAAGGAAACAGTGGTAAGGAAAAACTCCCTTTAAACAGGAAGAAACCTCCAGCAGAACCAGACTCGGGACGTGCTGCCATCTGCTTCGACCGGCAAAACCCAGATTAAAAAGTAACAAGTAAAGAGTTTGATTAATAGCTCTTAATGTAATCATTCCACGAAAAATGGCTAATATGTGTTTTTACTTTATTTGAAAGGTTAAACTAACAGACCAAGACAATTTTTATGAAAAGTTCCTGTGCTTGTTTTTTTTTAATGTCAAGAAGTTTCTAACGATTCTGTAGTTGAGCAAAGAAGAGTGTGGTTTATCTGTTATCTAACCCACTAAAACCATAACAAAACACAGTGCTTCATAGGTGGTCTCAGGTCATTTCTGTTCTTAATTCCCCCAGTCACTTATAACTGATAGATGCTGTTAAAACCATTCAATAATAATAATAATAACACCGTCATGTTCTTTGCAGGCGAACAGACAGTGGCCGGGTGTTTTGACGTGTGCTCTATTTGTATATTTCTTATATTTTGGAGTCTTACTTTGTCTTTTCTTTCTTTCTATCCTATTAAAAAAAAAAAAAAAAAAAAAAAAAACCTACACTAGATAGTCACTATAATAAATATTTCATAATAATGGTGTGGAGAGGATGGCTGTAAGGGGAGAAGGGAGGCCATCACAAAGAAAAAAAAAATAAAATAAATAAATAAATAATAATAATAATAATAACAATGTTTACGATGTTAATCCTGAACGGGGAAATACATTCTCTGCCTTTTTTACCATTACACATGTGAGTAAAGATATTAAACAGAGGGCTGCCACCTAAGGCGCATGGGGTGCAGCTTGTGGGTTGAGGGCCTTGCTCAAAGGCCCACAGTGGGGCAAATAAGGGTGGAGGCAGATGTGGGTGCTTCACCTTTCCCATCCAAATTTCATGGGCCGATCTGGGGATTAAACCGTGAAGCAACTGAAGGTTCCCATACAGTGCATTTCATTAAAGTTTCTTCACAGTGATGGTAAGCAGTGCAGTGATAATTTACATAATGTAAAAGAAAAAAGATTACTCAAACCAAGCTTCCTCCTGACATCTAGTTCTGATACTTGTGTGCCGATCGGATGTGGCTTTGGTAGTTGAAAATGGTTCAAAAGTCAGGAAACATTCAAATATTCTTATTCCTTTCTCTTTTAAATGTACGTTTTATCTTTTAATGCAATTTGACCTTTGGAATTAGTTTAATCTATCAATAAATTTCCAACCAAAGATGAACTTAATTAGAAACAGAAGAAGCAGATTATCTTGCGCTGTGACTGGATGTCAGCAAATGTACTCACACGTTAACACTAATGGTGGAGTTGTTGACTGTGAAAGGTATTCTGTATTCAACATCTTTCTGGATCTCTGCAAGGCTGTAGGAAAAAAACAAAAACAATACAGAGATGTTAAAATCACGTCATGAATCACTGATCACAGGCTACACATTTATAAAATGCATTTAACCTACCATCAGTATTTAGTTTGGTATTGCTTGAGAAAAAAAAAGAGATAATTGAAATAACATGCCTTAAATTCTACTGATTTCTCATAAACTATGTAAGAATATGACAAAGTGTTGTGTAAACATTAGAACTAACATTTAATTGCTTTATCTTGAAAATGTTTTTTATATTTCAGTCATATAGCACTGTAACACATCCAACAATCCGAAGCTAATGTAGCCATTTAAGTAAAACTAAAATTTGGAATAAAAAGCCACCAGGACATTTAAATTGCTATTTAAAAAAAAAAAGACCTAAGGAAATTTCTTATCGTTTGGGTCTACAGATACTTCTTTCAAAAATCATTGCCATGAAAAGAGAAGCATTAATTTGGTCACATCAATATTAGAAATCACATGAAGGACATTTGAGAATGGTTGTGTTGCTAAAACTGTGTAATCCCAATCATGTCACACATCCGTGTTTAAGCAAATTACATTTTGTGTCTGTCAACAGAAAAAACACAAGAAGTTCAAATGTTTAAGATGGCTGTATGCATCAACCTGAATAAAAAGTAGGTTAAAATAGTCAGCATGGTGTAATAAGTCCTGGTAAACAAAAGCTAATACTTTAATCTCCGCGAGCTCATCATAAAACTGCACGCGTGATCAAGACAGGAATAATCACAGGATATGATCACGACCAACCAGTTACAACTTGTGTAATCAGGATTATAAACAGATAACTGGACTGTCAGATCATGGATAATATAAATGGCAAACATTAACAGTTCAATACGACGTCATAAATGACTGATTTGGGGTTCGTTTGACACATTTACAGAGTAACAAAAAAGTTTGGTGTCACACTTCCTTAAATGTTGCTTGTCGTTTGCTAACAATCACATAAACACCATATGATCACTGAGTGTTCTGTCACATCAACTTAACTTGTTAAAGCGAAAAAGAAACACTGCGGTTGCTTTATCAAACAGTTTGACTCAACAGTTTGATAAAGCAACTGTTTGTTCAGCGTCGGGGGCCGGGTACTGTGACAGATCATCGTTCATCTTACCTGGGATGAGCAGCTTTCAGAGACTCGATCTGCCGCTGTTTTTGTTGCTGTAGGCTGTTAAGAGGGAGCGGTCCGGAGCCTTTAGACTGGGGAAAAAACCAGTTCATTCTCCCCCAGAGAAGCCTTATAACAGAGTGTGAAACCCAAGGAAGAGGTAAACGGAGGGGAAAGAGATCATGAGCAGCGCACGGAGTGGAGCTGTATTGCTAACTCGCTAGCTAGTTGATCAAAAACTCGCTTTACTATCCACGCGAGACGTTCTTTCTATTCACGTTACAAAGTCATATCCGGTTTCCTTATCAAACAAAATGCCAGCTTCGTTCTACTTTTGAACGCTCAAAGGTCAATATAGACTTGTCATCGACATTTCTAGAACAAGACGGGATAGCAAAATGAAATCAACAGAGCTAACAACAGCTTGGACAACTTATTTACGCACTACGTCAACGAGAATGCGTAAAACGTCACTTCCTGTTTAAATAGGGTTTTCAAAATAAGATTATTTTAATCCGTTGTCTTTTTTCGAATACTTTACAGTAATATCTGAAGCAAACAAGAAGATTATCATTTTGCTTTTCTCATTGGCATAAAGAGGAGTAGAACTCATCACTTATTCTAGTTTATGTTTAGTTGGCACACGTGTACAAATTGTACCTATGTATTAGTGGGTGCTGTAACTGTATAACTATAAATTGTACAGAGCACCAACTGTGGTCATGGTAAGAATTAAATTTAATGTATGAATCCATCCCCTCAGTTTACCAGTATTAAACTGTGCCCACAGTTTCAAAACCAGTCCCCTTAATTCAATTAATCTGTGCACACAGATTGGTTCTCTTGTTACTTGTTACACTTTTTGATGTCAGACCAAAAGGATTTCAGTCAGTCAACAGTAAAAAGGAAATAAATTAGCCTCACTGTTCAATTACGTTTAGAAAGAAAAGCATCTCTACTGTACAATAAATAAAATTAACAGAGGTTTCAGGTGATATTGTGCACTTTTATTATTGTTTTTTTTAAAGGTTCATGTAGCTAATCAGCTTGTATTTCCATCCTACTTTCTTACTGTGACAAAGAGAAGTAGCAAAATATCAATAACAGAAACAAACAAACAAAAAAACTTGTGTCTTCCAACTTTCTGTTCATGCTAGCTTAATTTATCATAGGAAATTTCTGAACTCTTTGTGGTTATCAAATCCAAACACATCAAAAACACGTTTCTCTAGTTAGAACCTATAGAAAGGATACCTGAGAGTAGTCTCATCAAAATCATGTTCTAAAATTGCATCCGACTCACAGCACTGTCTCTCTTACTCTGAGTTAATCTTGAGAGGCAAAATGTTCAAAGCAAAGAATTATTACTTTAAAAAAATAGCTGTTTTTTTTTTTTTTTTCTTTTGGCATGCTCCCTTGTCAGGGGTTGCCAAAGCAAACTAACTTGCATGAAGACTTGGCAACTGTTTTCACAATGTTCACAATGACAGAAAATGTGTGGTTTTTTTTTGGTATTATTCTCAGGAGGGATGTATGGTAATCTATTTAAAACGTTTTAAACTGTACAGTCCTCTCCTATTTGCTCCCGAAGGCATCAAAAACAAATATCAATGATAGCAATCACATAAATTGAATCAGTAATTACTGTCAGCTTCACGCTCAGCTAGGAACATTACAACTGCTCTTAACAAGTACACCACTGTTCACAAGCACCTTTATCTCCTAAATTATTTCTACACAACTGTCACTGTAATGTCACCATTTCATTGGTACTTTATTACAAAAGAGATTTCTGTAAATTTTGTGTTTGACAATGTATTACTGAAATGATGTTGGTTGTATTCAGATTAATAGGAATAACTGCACTTTTTTTTTCTTTTTCCAAAAGATAACCATTGACACCTTGCACAAGGAGGGCAAGGCACAAAAGGTCATTGCTAAAGAGGCTGGCTGTTCACAGAGCTCTGTGTCCAAGCACATTAATAGCGAAGCGAAGGGAAGGAAACGATGTGGTAGAAAAGTGTAGAAGCTAAAGGGATAACTGCACCCTGGAGAGGATGGTGAAACAAAATCCATTCCAATATGTGGAGGAGATTCACAAAGAGTGGACTGCAGCTGGAGCCAGTGCTTCAAGGACCACCACACACAGACGTATGCAAGACCAGGGTTTTAGCTGTCACAGTCCTTGTGTCAAGCCACTCTTGAACAAGAGACTGCATCAGAAGTGTCCCATCTGGGACTGCTGCTGAGTGGTCCAAAGTTATTTTCTCTGATGAAAGTAAATTTTGCATTTCCTTTGGAAATCAAAGTCCCAGAGTCTGGAGGAAAAGAGGAGAGGCACAGAATCCACGTTGCTTCAGGTCCAGTGTCAAGTTTCCACAGTCTTGACCAGATTGTGGACACAGTGGACCAACACCAGCATTTCGTCTGCTGGTGTTGGTCCACTGTGTTTTCTGAGGTCCAAGGTCAACACAGCTGTCTACCAGGAAGTTTTAGAGCACTTCATATACTTCCTGCTGCTGACCAACTTCATGGAGATGCAAATTTCATTTTCCAACAGGACTTGGTACCTATACACAGTGCCAAAGCTACCAGTACCTGGTTTAAAGACCATGGTATCCCTGTTCTTGGCCCACAAAGATTGGTTACGTACTATAACCCCAGATTCTATGAGTATAGGCGCAGCCCTTTAAGGCTATTGCTAGTGGGTTTCATCCCTTCGCACACAGCGCAGCACTGAAAACTTTAGTCCAAGCCCACCTGCTGTGTGTGCCTCACCCCCGGTCCGTATAAATTACGGTGAGACTGGGTAATCGGCTCCCAAATAACTTTTTTCTTCAGCCATTTAGGAACCAGTGAGGCCCAGAGCTTAAAGGGCTGCGCCTCTATACTCATAGAATCTGGGGTTACAGTACGTAACACACGTTCTATTTCGTATAGGCTTCGCCCTTTAAGGCTATCGCTAGTGGGTTAAAGGCGAAGCAGGATGTAGTCTATGCCTCACTGGGTAAATTCAGACACAATATGAAGTGCCTGCTTGCACCAAAAAAACATGTCATCACTCAGCTTTCTGTGTGTGTAATTACGCACTGCGTAATTACGAGTATCATGCACAGGAGCGCCTCAGAGAGAAAAAGTTTCCAACGGGAAAAAAGGGAAGGCTGAAAGCAATCCTGCTGCTGAGAATGGAAAAGAACAGAGGTTACAAATTGTAACCGTGTAACAGTGAGCAGAGCAGGTCAACAGCTCTTCAATATGAACTGATTAAAAACAAATGAACTTATTAGTAATCAAATGAACTGATTGGTAACAGTAGTCATGAACTGATTAGTAACAATAAAAGCAGCAGTCACAAACTTGTGACTGATAATAAATATCTTACAATGTATTTGCATGCAGACAGATGTGAATTTAAAACAAAATTCCATGAAACAAGTACGATTCATTCTGTTAGAACACTAAGAACAGAATGGGTCATGGAGAAAACAGAAACATCACGCAGATAGAAACGAATAAATGAACATGGCGATGTCCAAGCAGCCGCCGTACATATGTCCTCCACTGTCATTCCTCTATGCAAGGCTGTAAAAGATGCAATTCCTCTGGTGGAATGAGCTCTGAGATTCTCTGGAGGCTCCAATCCTGATGCCCTGTAAGCTTCAGAAATGGCCTCACACAGCCAGTGTGAAAGGCGCTGAGTGGATAACGGGCGCTCTGCAGAGACGTCCCTATAATGCACAAACAGACGCTGAGTCTGACGCAGAGGAGCCATGCGTGTTATGTAACGTGCCAGCGCGTGCACAGGACAGAGGAGATGAAATGATGCTTCCTCCTCTGATTTTTTTTTTTTTTTGGGGGGGGGGAGAGATAAAACCCCTCCAATGTTATCATTCTCGATTTAAATGAACTTGTGATGTTTTTTGGTATGAAAGCTGGGTTTGGTCTCAGCGTAGCTGAGCTGCCATCAGCTTGAATCCTGAGGCATGACGGGGCAGCAGAGAGCGCAGATAAATTGCTCACTCTCTTTGCTGATGCCAAAGCCAGCAGCAGGGCTGTTTTAAGTGACAGGAATTTAAGTGACACCTGATCTAAAGGCTCAAATGGAGCTTTGATCAGAGCTTGCAGAACCACCGTTAGGTCCCAATGTGGAGCTAGTGGGCATGACACCAGTCTGTGTCTCCGTACACCTTTTAGAAAACGCTTCATCAGCGGGTGATTAAAAACTGTTCTGTCACCGAAGCCTTCGTGACAGGAAGAAATAGCTGCAGCATACGTTTAATTGTGCAGAAAGCTAAATTTCTGTATCCGTGTTCTTGGCCCGCAAACTCACCTGACTGTAACCCCATAGAAAATCTATGGAGTATTGTGAAGAGGAAGATGTGATACAACAGACCCAACAATTCAGAAGAGCTGAAGGCCACAATCAGAGCAACCTGGACTCTAATAGCACCTGAGCAGAGCCACAGACTGATCAACTCCAGGCCACGCCGCATTGCTGAAGTAATCCAGGCAAAAGGAGCAACAACTAAGTACTGAGTGCTGTACATGCTCATACTTTTCATGTTCATACTTTTCAGTTGACCAACATTTCTAAAAATCCTTTTCTTAAATTAGTCTTAAGTAATATTCTAATTTTCTGATATGGAATTTGGGGTTTTCATTAGTTGTCAGTTATAATCATCAACATTAAAATAAATAAACATTTTAAATATATCAGTGTGTGTAATGAATGAATATAATATAAAAGTTTTACTTTTTGAATGGAATTACTGAAATAAATCAACATTTTCATGATATTCTAATTTTATGACCAACACCATATATTTTATTGCTACACAGATTTCTGTATTTTTTTATTTGACTCTGTATTACTCAGCCAAATTATGTTGACTGTATTCAGATTAATAGGAATAAAAATAAACTTTTATTTACATAGAAATAACTTTAATAATTTTCTGCCCACATGTCACAGTCCCTCCACTCTCCTTATCCAGGATGCCTAATAATTACGGAAGTCCAGCAGATGTCACCATTAAGCAACACAATGTCAGCAGTTTTGAAATTGTGCTTTATGCTTGAAAAGACATAATTTATCTTTAACAAGTACAAAACTAACCCATGAAGTTTAACACAGTCATTTTTAATTCACACAACTTAGAAACCCACTCTGATCACATTCCTCTCCTGTTTGCTCACAAAGGAAGCAAAGATTATTCATCAATGACAGTGATAACATGAACTGAATCATTAATCAGTGTCCACTTCAAACTCAGAGAGAAACATCACATCTCTTCTTCGTGGTTGGCGAGACCAGACACTTCAGAAACACAATTCTCAAGTTAGAAACTATAGAAATGATCCCTGAAAGTATAGTCTTA